TTAATTCTCTAGTTAATTTTTATTAACAAATTAGAAAGTAGTTATAAGTTTATAATTTTATAAATAATAAATTCAATTGTAAGAGTTACTTAAAGTTTAATTCAAAATTTACCCATAACTTATCCAGTAACGAAACTCTACTTACCAGGTGAACGACAATAACGAGAATTTGTCATGGCAAGCAATAGGCTATGCTGGACCTGATCCAGATCATTCATCAACACAGAATGACGATACAGACAAAGCATTTGGACCCCTCTATGAGGGCATTATTGATCTCGCACGCCCACCAGACATAGTTGCTGATGATTTGAGACGATTTGGTTTCACCGTCCGTGTTCATGGACAGAAATTCAAGCTCCCAGAGTTAGCTGTAGACCCTTCCATGATTATCGGATGTGATGCAGTTGTCGTCGGTTCCGGCTCTGGTGGTGGTGTAGTCGCCGGAGTTCTTGCAAATGCAGGTTACAAAGTCCTTGTATTGGAGAAAGGAAAGTATTGTGCAAGAAGAAATCTTTCTCTTCTTGAAGGACCTGCCATGCAAGAAATGTATCTGTCTGGAGGTCTGTTAGCAAGTGATGATCTTGGCATGGTGGTGCTTGCAGGATCTACTGTTGGTGGAGGCTCTACTATCAACTGGTCAGCTTCTGTAAAAACTCCAGCTCATGTAATCAAAGAATGGTGTGACGAGTATGAACTGGAGCTTTTTGACAGTGACTTATACAGAGAAGCTATTAATGTAGTATGTGAAAAGATGGGTGTTCAATCCGAAATCCAAGAAGAAGGATTCAACAATGAAATTCTGAGAAAAGGGTGTGAAGAATTAGGGTACGATGTGGAGAACATCCCTCGGAATTCCCCACCTGATCATTACTGTGGATGGTGTTGTTTTGGCTGCAAAGATGGAAGAAAGCTTGGTGTATCAGAAACATGGCTTGTGGATGTTATGAATTCAGGCCATGGTGCAATCCTTCCCGGTTGTGAAGCCATACAAGTTCTACAAGCAAGGGAAAAAGGAAAAAAAAAAAGGAATAGCAGTTGGTGTTGCTTTTGAATTCCAACAGAAAGGTGAAAAACAAATCTGGATTGCAGAAGCTAAGGTGATTGTTATAGCCGGTGGAGCTCTTTGTACTCCCCATTTACTAAAGAAGAGTGGTCTAAAAAACCCTAATATTGGTAACAATCTACATCTTCATCCAGTAACAATGGCATGGGGACACTTCCCCCATTATCACTATAAGAAAGCCTATGAAGGAGGGATCATGACCGCCATGTCTAAAGTTGTTGCAGGCTCTGAGAAATCTAAGTATGGAGCGTTGATACAAACACCAGCTCTTCACCCTGGAATGTTTGCAGGACTAATGCCGTGGATCTCAGGCACTGATATAAAAGGCAGAATGTGTAAATTTTCCAAGACTGCCCACATATTTGCATTGGCTAGAGATAAGGGATCAGGAACTGTGAAATCCCCCAATTCAATTAGTTACAAAATGGAAGAAGAAGATGAGATGAACCTAAAGAAAGGAGTGGAGAAGGTATTGAGAATTCTGGCAGCTGCTGGGGCTGAAGAGATTGGCACTCATCATTGCAAAGGAAAGACATTAAAGGTAAAGCAAGCAAGCTTGGATGAGTTTGAAAAGTTTGTGAAAGATGAAAGTTCAAGGGCATTGAGTGACTTGTCCACACCTATATGTTCAGCTCATCAGATGGGCAGCTGTCGATTAGGCGTCGACCCGAGGACATCGGCAGTGAAACCCAGTGGAGAGACGTGGGAAGTCGAAGGGTTGTTTGTTGCAGACGCTAGTGTTCTCCCTACTGCTTTGGGTGTCAACCCCATGGTCACTGTGCAGGCAATAGCCTATTGCATTACCCAATCTGTGCTTGACGTTCTCAGGAGAAAAAAACGTGAATAAGGACTTAAGTTTAGTGAGATATTTACTTTTACTTTTTTATTTATATGTATAAATAAAATTTATAGATTTTATATCTGTAGTTTCTTTCATGCACAAGTAACTTCGAAGAAATTGAAACTGTAAATTATATTTTAACAAGTTATATTTCATGAACAAGTAAATGATATGTATACTTTTATTAATAACTAAATCACTGAGTAAGATAAATATGATGACTAATTATTGTATGAATATAAATGTTAATAAAATAATACACAGAAATAGACTGATGAGATAAATACAATATGTATATTTTTGTGAATATATATATTAATAAAATAATAATCACAATAATAATAATAATAATAATATAGATAAAGAATAGTACTAATTTAAACTAACTTCGGAAAATTTAAATTTTTTAGA